GGTTGAAATCACACAATTCTTTCAAACTCTGGAGCCTCCTTTGTATTTTTAGTAGAAGAAGCTATTTGACAAGGGTCAGAATGCCTGGGTTCTAGATCTAGCTTCTGTTTTGCTTTGAGTAAATCACACAATAATTATAGATCTTTATTCATCTCTCAAATAAAGGGAGTAGGCTTAGTCAGTATTTCTTTAAAAATACAGAAGATAATGTTAGGCAGTACACAGGTAAATTTTTTAATTATTACATTAAAAAGTAATGTATGTTAATTAATGTATATTACATTTAAAAGTACGGTGTTATTTTCTTTAATATTAGAAAAGACTATAACCAATACATCAGTTGAGGGTGTTACAGATGGCATCAGTGACTCTGTCATTCTGCAAAGGCTGGCATGTTGCTGTCACAAGCGCTTCTACACTATCCATGATGGAGAGGTTTCAATGAAGCTTCCAGACTGAAACAGAGTAGGAAAAAGACATGGTAATTTACTTCTGAAAATGAACTAATGAAAGCCTTAGTGATCAGAGCAGAACACTGTGAAACTCAATTTGGACAAGCCATCAGAAAGGATCAATTTCCAGCAGAAGACACTGGTGAAGAAGTAGAAGAACACAGTAGGGGGGAGACCCTCAGTGAAACGAACTAGCATAATAGCAGGCACAATGCCCTGAACATGCCAGTGAACGGAGAATGACAGCACAGGGCAGCATTCTATTCTGTTTGACAGGAGGTCACCGTGAATCAGAGCCAACTCTAAGGCATCTATCAGTTACAATAGGATGTTTCTTTCTTCTGCTTTTTTTACGTCAGTACTTTTAAAATCTAATATAAAAGACAAGTTAATTAAATAACTATATCAATGGTTCAAAGGTCATAAAAACATCATGAAGAATATGAACAAATGCATAAAACACTGCTGGTGAGGGTACAACTTGGTGCAGACTTGCTTCTTTAGATGCAAAGTCTGAGCTACAAAGAATTATTTCCTTGCACAGCAAGAGCTGTGGAGGCATGGGCTGGGGACTAGTACAACCTTCACTGAGGAGTGAAATTCAATCATAACGAAAAGGAAATTCAATTCAACACATATTCAGATTCATCAGGTAAAAGAGAGGGTCTACCAGTAATCACTTCTGCTAGGAGATGGACATCATAAATAAAATTCCCTCTGTAAATAAATGGAATCCCCCAGATGTAGTAAATGGTACAGCACTCAACTACCAACCAAAAGATTGGTAGTCCCCTTGGGAAAAAGAGCCTAGTGATCTTCCCGAAAGGTCACTGCCTCAACAGCCCTTGGAGTGTAACTCATTCTATGACACGTGGCATTGTCATGAGTTGGACTCTCTTTGTAGACAGTGATTATAAATAAAACTCGCTCTACACATAAAGAAACCACCCTCACCCCCAGGGCTCGCTAAGGATGGAGAGGCCCAGCTGCAGGTTGTGCACAGGCTGCAGGTGCTTGGAGAGCACTGTGCCGCAAAGCACAGAAGTAGGTGGCTGAATCTTCAGGTTGAGACTCTGAGATATTGAAGACACTAAATAACTTCTTTCTTCCAAGCTGGTCTTTAAATCTTTCTCTTCCTGCTCACCTTGCCTTGATTGTGTTAAGGTCAGAGATACAAGTCCTCTCCCAGGATCCTGCCTGAACCAATGGAAGTTAAAAAACGTTTTACTTTGAGCAGTGCAATTAAGAGTGGCATGCTCTCTCTCTGGGATGCTCAGGAAGGAAGGACTCTGGTCCAATGCAGATCGGCTGCTCACCCCTGCATAGAAAGAGAACCACAAACAAAGGTGATCCGTGAATGACTGGTTATTTCAGCAAATCTAGACTTTCTTTTCACACTTCCCACAGGTGAGTTAATTGCCTGTCTACAACTTTCAAGTTTATAGGGACTGTTCCTCCGATCTGCTCTTTCTATTTACATCTCCCAAACCTGCCAACTCACAGCACAGCTGCAAAGAGAAAATCATAACTGAAGCTCCCGAGGACTTCTCCATGTTGACTGATGCTTCTATGAGTGCATATGTATAACTCTGTCCTGACAGGAAGCCGAGAGGCTTCACCACCAGCCAGAAGGAAGATCCATTTGCCTATGCACAGACTCAGCCAATGACTGAATTGCTGACTAAGTCACATGGAAAGAAGGTTATGTTAGGACCCGGTGTGGCTTTGTTGCAGAGAAACATGTATTGTTTGTGATTTACATGGCTCTTTCCTTTTTTCTCCTACAATAATCCTGAGTATTTACCATGTATAAATTATAAATATATATGTTAATTTCTCACCCAAATAAAATCTAGGGAAGTTCTTTTCCCTCCTCCCCAATGTAGAAACCCTTTAACTGACATATAAAGGTAGCTATCAGCACCATTGCTGTTGTTAAAAGCCATCACGTTGATTTCTATTCATGACTACTTTATGTCTTGTACCATCTTCATGATCCTTGGTATGTATGAGTCCACTGTTGCAGCTCTTATGTCAATTTATCTCATGGAGGGATTCCTTCATTTTTGTTAACCCTTTACCAAACATAATACACTAGAAATGAACATATGTTTTGGTAAATTGGCATTGAAGCTGAATATAATGCTGCTATCTATATCTGGAATCCTGGTGGCACAGTGGTGACATGTTGGGCTGCAATCCTAAAGGTCAGCAGTTCAAAACCACCATCCACTCAGAGGGAGAAATACGGGGCTTTCTACTCCTTTAAACAGACATAGTCTCAGAGACTCACAGGGGCTGTTCTACTTTGTCCTGTAAATCGGCATCAACTCAGTGGGAGGGAGAATCAATAACTGAGCCCTGTCCCATAAAGTCTTTGTGAATTTTTCTTAGAATTTGAATTAAATCATTCTAGGAGTTAAAGGGGGTGGGGTGCATTTTCTATGCATCATACCTATGAGAAAAAGAAAACAAACCAGGAAATCACTATTGTCGTTTCAAGGAAGTGGATGGGCTAAAACCATCATGGAATAATGAGTGACTCTCAATCATGCCAAAGGAAAACAGCATAATAAAAAATGAGCGGTATAATTTTCTATACTTAGCAACATGGCCAAGAATCCTTTAGATATCATTATAGTCTCATGCTGATGATCTCTGTCATTTAGATAATTTGTCTTTGTCATTAATCTTTCTTTGACATTTAACAAAGGGGTCGCATGTGAACATCAGTCTCTGTGACCAGAATAACCAGCGTGTGACTGGTTACCACTAGCAACTGCCTTCAAAGGAATCACATTGAAAAGTCCTGGATAGAGTGGATAGAGTGGATAGAGTGGATAGAGTGGAATGGGGAGTGTAAAACAAACTCAAAATTACACCAAAGACCAGACTTACTGATCATATAGAGACTATATGTAACCCGTGTAACCCGTGACCAAGGCCCTTAGTCATCCTTCAGGTCTAGAAATGAACTCAACCCCCAACTCAATTTTCAGCCAAACAATAAAAGGCCTAGAGAGTAACAATAACATGTCTAAGGTATTAACACCTTAGAATAGTAAACCATTTGAGGTCAACAGGGCAGTGTTTACCCAAGGACAAAGTTCAGAAAGGTTAAGAAGGAAGGCAGAATGGAACGAGAAATACAGGGAGGAAGTGGAAGAAGTTGTGTTACTTTGTAGGGACGGCAATCAATGTGCAAGGAAGTGTTTGTGAATTGTTGAATGGAATGCTGATATGCTCCAGTAACCTTCACCCAACACACAGTACTTTTTTGAAATAGTTTTTTAAGGAGAGAGTGTGTGTTGTGTGTCACTCACTGCCATCAAGTCCATGGCACTCCATCTGACCCTACAGGACAGGGTAGACCTGCCCCTGTGAGTTTCTGAGACTGTAACTCTTTATGGGATAGAAAGCTCCATTTTCCTGGTGGCTTCAAACTGCTGACCTGCGATTAGTAGCCCAACGCATAATCACTATGCCACCAGGGCTCCTTTGTTTTGTGTATAGAAAGAGACTCATATCAAGAAATGGCTTACAAAAGTGTATAAGTAAGTAAATGCAGTCTAATTCATGTTAGGTGTCTCTTTACTCATGTAAGTTGATAAACAAGGGAAGGATGATTAAGTAGAGCCAGTAGGGATCATAGGCTGGTGGATGCAGAAGTTGACATTGGCCAAATGAATCCACCATCAGTCGTCCACTGACATCTCCTAAGATTGGCAGACAACATGACAGGATACTGGGGAACCAGACATACAATACAGCTCTGGCAGAAGGTGAAGGGCCAACTTTTCTCTGTCTCTCTCTCTTATACAATAAGATGTATGACACCAAGGAGGTATCATCAACCTGCTGTGCAATTGCTAGGTTGAGTTACACCCCTAACCTTACTCAAGATTATCTAGTTAACATCATCCCTAAACATCACAGACCACCCCTTGTCAACTTGACAATTGTACATAACACCTGTACATAAAATCACACACCTAACATGATAAAACTAACATGTGTACAAATGTAAACACACTAACCTCATTTTCATCTTATATATTATAAATAAACAAAACAAATACATTTGATGTCCATATACAACTAGTATAACTCACAACAATTCCTCATAACAATTTCTGCAGGTGGTCACATGGCCATAGCTGCTTTCAGAACTACCTTCTTCCACTACCCATTCTGTGTTTCCTTTACCCTCGGTGAGTGCCACCGTTGGTCATGGTCCTTTGCCTGGTGGGGTGATTTGAGACATTTTATAGAGTTCCTTGAATGATGGGGAGGCCAAGTACCTTTGACGAAGGACCCCACTCTTGGTACCAAATGTATTAAATTGGGTTCTTTAGAGAAGTAAAACCAGTGATCCTTGCATGTGTTGTATATGTCCAGTTCAAGCCAGGCTTCTCCTGACTCTTGGAAGCTGATGAACAGGAAACAGGATGATAAAGCAAAGACAGCAGGTGGCACAGGTGGTGGATGCAGAGATCCAAAGTCTGCCAAAGTAAGCCACCATCGGTAGTCTACTCATGGCTCCTGGGATCAGGAGATGATGCAACAGTTAATCGAAGAACCAGATATAAGAAGGCCTAAAGAGGATTCAACTGTGCTGTCTCTCTCTCTCCCTCTCTCTCTCAAAAAGGTTTATGAAACTAAGAGATGTCATCCAACTACAATGCATTTATAGGTTGAGCCCCACCCCTACCTTACCCATGAGTATCTAGTTGATATAATCAGAGAGCTAGACTTTGATCCTTACTTAGAATTGTCTTATTATTTCTCCTTGAGTTATCTTCACTGTCTCATCCCATATATATCTAATAACCACAATTAATTGAACATGTATCTTGTTCTAAACTCTATAGGGAGTACATAAGTTAATGCTTACCATTACATCTCAAGGCATATGATAGAAGATAAAGTATAGGTGCTCCAAGCTTAACTAATCTTGTCCAACTTCAAACAATTTAGTAAGTGGCAGGTGCAGGACTTCAGTGCCTAAGTCTTTTAGTCATCGCACAAAATTTCCCAATAAGCAAAGGAAATGCCTGTATTGGAAGATTAGACAAGGCATTCCTAAAAGAAAATGAATGTTATAGACAAATTTAGATTTCTATGATTTATTCATTACACCTTATGCCTATTAAAATGCCTGTTACTTACTGTGTATTCAATAAATAACTATAATAAACAAAGTCAATGTGTGTGTGTCCTTCAGAACCCAGCTAAATTTCTATTTCTTCATGAGGGAGCGTTCCACTGTCTTTTCTGTGCCATGGCGATCTTCCAGAGAAAACCTTTAAGCCTATTGTTTCGCATGCTTGGAGTTTATCTATTGGTTAGATTTGCATGTGTTGTTTCTTATTCTTCAATTAATTTATAACTTTCTTCTGGTAAGTTTATTCAGCAAAATTAAAAGCATAACAATCCAGAGTTCTCCTACCTACTTTTCAACTAGCTGTAGTGGATTCTTGTCACTTAGAGGAGCAGAGGTCTGATCCCCTTTTCCAGAAAGAGCAGGGATGAATTTCTGTTTCCAGCACCATGCCCCTTGCAATGATTAAGGTACAGAATCAGAATTCTGGGGGAGTCCTTTTACAGCTGATGTCATGGGCTAAGGAACTGATAAACAGGGAGAAGCAGAGTATTTCTAAAAAGGAAGCTAGTGAGCTTCCTGCCAGTGCACTCTCTGGTTTTGAGACTATCCAGTGGTGGACACAAAGATGAACTGAAATTCAATTTTAGCTATGCCTCAGGAAAAACAAAAAAGCCACTTCCTACTCTTCCTGTTCTTGAATCTTGACATAGTCAAGGCATTTTTATGTGAACTTCATATTTTTTTAGTAAATCACTTATTCAAGTCTTCCTGCAGAAGAAACGTAAACAAATTCTTTCACTCGGAAGACATGGCCGGTGCTGACTGGGAGGAAAGAGAATCTGGTGAGTGAGCGAACCTACGTTGATTTTCAGCTTGAGGACGCAAGATATTTTTGAAGTACTGGAGCGCGAGCAACACTCAGAGCCATTACAACGAACAACCCAGGGACCCACTTCATTCATTCATTCATTCGCTGAACCTTGAAAATCAAATTGCTTGTAGAATCCAAAACAACAAATAAAACCCTATCCAATGATATCTTAAAATGGATATCTTAGAAAAATATTACATTTCTTTATCATTAAATCGCATAGGGGACCCAAACAATAGCACATAGAACCCCAAAAGATAGCATGCACGGCTCAAAAGATAATGAATTAAATCCCGTTCAATGATATCTTAGAATACAGGTATCATTAAATTTTTCCCTGTGTGAACTGATGATGACAGACCAGAATCAACCTTCCCATTTTTTTCTTAAGACCTTTCTTTTGCTTTTTAGTAACTGTTACATCAACAAAAACTGAATTGGTGCACTTTAGAAAATCAGAGACACAGACAAGGAAAGAGAGAAAAATTAAAACATATTCTCACTATACAGAGATTTCCATTCTCGCTATCTTGGTAAACGTTCTTCCTATTTTTTCTCAATTGATGAGGTCTACCTTGCAAACAAATTTTCATTTCATCTAATTATCAAATAATATTTAAACTCCTCATAAAGGAACTGCATAGCTACTAGAGAACCAGCGCCCAGCCCCGTAGCTCCTAAACCATTCTGTGCCTATGCCTCCCTTCTAGAACACTGATGGATGAAGAAGCTGAGATGATTCTCCTGCTGCCTGTGTGTCTGTCAATGTCGTGTTAGCAGAAGAGTCTGAGCAGAACCATCCTCCAAGGGAAATGTTACGGACCATGCTAAACATGTTGGCATAGGATCCCGGGTGCCTCGATCTGAGGCATGGGTGCATTGATGAATTAGGCAGTTAAGTTAGGACTTGCCATGGAATATGGGTTAAAAGGTTGTCAGGGATAAAGGAACCCTGTTGGATATTGCCGTCAGCAGCATCAACCTATTGACCCTCCATTCAGTAGTCCACAGTCTTTGGGGGGCTGGACTCCACTCAAGACTAGTCTCTCCCTTCTAACCCAAATGAACATCTCCTTCAGTAGCAGAAATACAGTATAAAAATCTTTCTCTAGGGAACAGCCAGCTGTAGCCGTTAACTTTACAAGCTGAATGAAGATATATTTATGTTGTGTAGACATTGATGATCAAGCTCAAATACAAAATGGCACACAGGTTAGAAAGAGAAGTAGCAGGTCACTTGTGAAATTATGTGCAACAAAAATTAAAATAGCAAAATCCCTGAGCCACCTCCTCAGTCTGTTTAACAGGCACAGATGTGGGAGGCTGGGTGGAGAAGCTGTGAGGTGCAAGGCAGTGTGCATGGTAGCTGTCTCCAGAGTTGCTGTGTACTTTCCATTTGGCTTTTGCTCTCTCTTGGGTCACGGTTATCAGGGAAACAGAACCTCTCCCAGCATCCCTTTATACTACCTTACGTTGTTTGAGGGAGCCACTGAATAACCACATTGAAGGGCGCAGTTCTCTCCTTCCAGGATGATCAGAGACCAAGGGCTCGGTGCCACTTGGTTTTGGCCACTCACCCCTACTCAGGAAGAAAGGGGAGGCACAAGAGTTCGGGAATCCAGTCTTCATGACTCCCACCTCGTATCTCTTCGCTACTCTCCACAATGAACCCCACATAATCTGGAAAGTTGCCCCCACTTGCTTTCCTCCTCTTACCCAATTAACTACTTCACCTCAAATTCAAAGGAAAACATTCCTTGGACTTCTTGCATCAATCTCTCTAAAACTCTCCACAAACTTGCAACAAAAATGAAGCCAAAACGCCACACAGAATGCTTTCAGATGCTTCTCCATTCTTTTTCTGCACAGGGCTGTCCCCGCACCAAAAAATACTAGGCTCTATCTCTCTCTCTATTAAACAAAGGGATTCTCAGAGACTATGTTCAGTCAATCAGAGATCAGACTTAGTGATCCGATATGCATCCATTACAGAGACAGGCAATACTTAGGATAGGAAATGCACACATTGCCATCTTGAGGTCAGTGTTAGAGTTGCTTGAAGCTTCTGATTAAGCAAGTGTCTTACGTTTTCTCCTCACTGCATGCCAGATGATTTGGAATATAAACCCTGCAAGTGCTCATTCGTCTACACAAAGATATTTGCAAGGCCTGGCCAACCAATTGGAAGAGACATATATTTGTGCCCAATTCAAAGAAACATAATTTAATAGAATGTAAAAAATGTCTAACAATATCTTAATCCAAACACAAGTGAAATTTTGCTGAAGATAACTCACAGTAACAGCACTAGATTGACAAGGAACTGACAGATCCACGCTGGATTCAGAAGAGGAGGTGGAGCAAGGGACATCACTGCCGACATCAGATGGATCTTAGCCAAAAGCAGAAACTATCAGCAAAAGGTTTACCAGGAATGTTTTATTGACTGTGCAAAGACATTTGACAGTGTGGGTCATAAAACATAAGGACAACATTGTGAAGAATGGGAATTACAGAACATGCGATTGTATTCATGGAGAACCCATATATAAACCAAAAGACAGTCATTCAAAGAGAACAAAAGGAGAGGAGTCTATCAGCGTTCACTCTATTCTTTCACTCTACTTATTTAATCTGCATATCGAGCAAATCATTCAAGAAGCATGCCTATAAAAAGAAGAACACAATATAGGGGTTGGAGAAGGACTCTTTAACAAATTGTGGAACACAGATATCCCAAGCTTGCTTCCTGAACATGAAGAAGACTTGGAGCAGTCACTGATCAAGACCAAAGACGACAGCCTACAGGATGGATTATAACTGTATGGAAAGAAAACGAAAATCCTCACAACTAGACCAATAAACAAAATCCTGCTAAACAGTGAACCCATTGAAGTTGCCAATGACTTAATTTTACTTGGATCCACAATCAACACCCATGAAAGTAGTCGTCAATAAATGAAATTATGCATTCTGTTGGACACACGTGCTGCCAATGAACTTTGTAAAGTGCTAAAAAGCAAATATATTACTCTGAGGACAGGGTATGCCATGGTGTTTTCAACTGTTCTGAAAAAATGACACGCCATTTTCTTTAAAATTCAAATTCAAATTCACTGCCATCTAATTGATTCCAACCATAGCGACCCAGTAGGGAGATAGAACTGCCCCTGTGGGTTGCCAAGACTGTAATTCTTTATGGGAGTAGAAAGCTTCATCTTTCCCCTGAGGAGCAGCCACTAGTAGGGATGTGTCCTCGAGAAAGAAAAGCAGGGACAAGGAGAGGCCGGTGCACATCCCCGTTCATCACCACATTCCTCACCAAGCCAAAAGATGGAAACAACCCAAATGTCCGTCAAACGGAATACTAAGCAATGTTCAAGAATAATGGCAAGTCCGCAAAATGCCTCATAAGATGGGTGAACCTGAAGGGCATTACGCTAAGTTAAATAATTCAATTACAAAAGGGCAAACACGATTACGAAAGGACCACTGTGATGGTCGACAAAAGAGCTTTGTGCACAGAAACATTCTTTGAAGATTACCAGGGAGGGGAGTCAAAGGGAGGGGAAATCACCAACTAGAGATCACACGCATATTAACTTGGGTGAAGGGAAAAGCAAGATACAATAGAGGGAGATCAGTACCATATGACGAAAGCAAAGGAAGGCACTGAAAGATGCACAAGGGTTTCAGCAAAGTTAAACACGGCTGCGCACACAATCCTGCAATGACAGTTATAAGCAACAGTTATCGACGAGTGGATTCACAAACAGATTTGCAAGAGGAAGAAGTATGGGGAGTTGAAAGGGAGGATTCATGGGCAGAAGCCCTGATGGTGTGTGTGTGGGGGGGGGGGGGGGGGTCACATGTTGGGCTGCTAACCACAAGGTCCACAATTTGAAACCGCCAGCGCTCCGAGGGAGAAAGAGGAGGCTTTCGAGTCTCGTAGAGATTTACAGTGTTTGAAACCTTCGGGGACAGTTCTATCCAGTCCCATAGGGTTGCAATCAACTAGCTGGCAGTGAACACAGCCATGATCAAAGGTTAGGTTTGGGAGAGGATATTTCAACATATGCACTGATTTGCACTGTCAATATATCCATGTATATTAGTAGAACAAAAAAGGGTCAAAGTTATGAAAACTTGTTAACCATTCTAAAAACCCTTAGAGGAATGAGCCACTGGGCTAGGAGACTTAGGACCACAGTCTCAAGGAGCATCTAGGGAGATCAGCTGGCATAATATACTTTATGAAAACAAGGTCCTATATCCTACTGTGGCGAATTGCAACTGGGTCTGTAAAGCTAGCAATCAGCATCGAAGATGCAGCTGTTGGCCTCTCCCTGTGCAGAGTAAAGCGAAGTGATAGAGCTCAAAGACTCAAGGGAATCATCCAGAGGATGGATCGACAGCAGGAACTACCCTGGGCCTCCACGAACTAGCCTGAGACCAAAAGAACGAGGTGGGGCCCACCTACTCTTACTACCAACCCTCACGGGGACCACAGAAGGTCCTGAAGAGAATAGGAGAAAAAGGTAGAGCAAATTTCAAAAATCATAAAAAGACCAAGCTTCCTGGTCTCGTAGAGATTAATGGAAGCCTCAAGAGTATGGCTTTTAGAACTCACCCCCCAGACGTTACCTTGCAAGGAAACAACAGACAGGCCTATAATGTAAACAAGAGCACAGAGGAGGAATGTATTCATCAGAATAATTAACCTTCGGAAATAAAAAGGGCAGTTCTTACCCCAAAACGAAGCTTAGACGAAGGAGGAAGCAGGAAAGAAGGGCACATGGGAACTGGGGGCCAGGGAAGAAGTGGGGGAGAGGCTGGTATATTGAGCAAACTGAAACTAACGTCATAGGAGAAATTGTAAATAAATATTGCTGGATGGAAAACTAACTTCTGTAAACTTTCACCCATCCCACAAGAAATAAAAATTAAAACAAATAATATAACTGTGTTATTTATAGATTTCATTGTACTTTGGAGAACATATCATATTTGACAAAATTATTGTAAGTACTTATGATGCTGATATTGTAGTCCAATGAAATGACTGATCACTTAGAGACTCTTGCTTCAGGAGAGACCTGTTCCAGAGAATCAATCCAACAAAGTTGACCGTGACAGAGAGAGAGCGAGAATCTCAGCTGCACAGAGACTCCCATATCCATTCTGCTTGAATTTGGAGCTCTGTGTCTGAAATATCATAAATTTCTTTTTAACAATATCCTCAAAGAACCAATGATGGTTACTGCCAACAATTATTTTTGACCCTCATCATGGAGCATACGTGGTAAAAGAAGAAATCGTAAAATGCACCTTCCGACATAATAGGGTCCCACCCACGATCACAGTAGCAGATTCAAGACACCTCAGGTCACGGAAGTTCTTCATAACTAACTCTAAACGGAAATTCTGAGCCTAATCCCTCCTCCTTAGGAGGAATGCCTAAGATATAAGGCTGTCCTGTTCCCCATGTCCGAGTCCCACTCTTGTACAGATCATGCATGCGCACGCCGTGTGCTGCTTTTAGGGTAAGAGTTTAGCCTTGTAGTTGCAGTAATAGGAGCCCTGGTGGTTTAGTGGCTTGCTAAAGGTCAGCAGTTTGAAACCAGCGCTCTCTCAGAGAGAAAGACAGGACTTTCTAGTCCCATAAAGAGTGACAGTCTCTGAAGCTCACAGGGGCAGCTCTACCCTGTCCCATAAGGTCACTATTGATGGCATCTACTTGATGGCGGTGAGTTTGTTTGTTTGTTTGTTTGTTTGTTTGTTTGTTTGTTTGTGGTATAGTGGGACATGTAAATTGGGATTTGAAAAGTATTTTAGGGTTATAAGTAACTACAAGACTATTTTTGTTTTAAAATAACACATTTCGGCTGAAACTATACAGTCCTTTTGATGTCAACCCCCTGACAGTGTCACCTAGTCTAATATTAGTACACACACACACCTTGTTATGTCACCAAAGAGAGCCAAGCACGCAACCCCGCAGACTCACTGAAACCAGAATGCATTGCAGAGTCAGACACGCAGAAACCAAGGCCTGGCAGCCCAGAGTTTGTGCTTGGCTCCCCCTGCAGCTCCTGTCACTGTGTCACTCAGCACACAGTAGTACACAGCTGAGTCTGACTCTTGCACTGCGGCTTTCTCCAGGTGGAAGGAAGATGTTTCTTTCTTGTATGTGGCTTCAAAGCCTTTGTTACGTCCCTTCTCATCAGCCTTGGTGGCTTTCAGAAGAAGCTGTAGACCTTCACCCGCATACTGGACGTACCAGAAAAGCGTGGGATACCCTTTGGCTGTATACGTGCAGTTTATGGTCAGGAAAGCCCCTTTGGAGACGATGACTTGGCCTTCATCCTGGGCCACTGAGTAGTCTTCACTGGTTACTCCTGGGGGGAGAAAGATCTACGTCACTGTGGATGTCATGCTCTGGAATAAAAGCCTTGCTGGCATCCTAGAAGAAAGGATGCAATTTTCAGAGTCATTCGACTTACCAAGCGCTAAGAGCATCACAGCCACTAGTCCTAGAGAAGCGTTCATCTTGAGACTGCGGCCTGACTAAAGCTCTCGATGCTTTACATAAAGAAACACTGACGTCACCGTGGAATGGAAATCTGACCCTAGAATTAACACAGGAGATCGGTTTGCGTTAGGAAGCTGCACCCCCTTGTGGACAAAGGGCTGAACTGAGTCTAAAAAGTCAGAAACGTCCCAATCCCCCTCTGGACTTGGCCTGTGAAAACATGAAGGACAGCTGTAATAACCTCTATGAGCTATTTTGTTTTGGGCGCAATACCTATTATGGAATTTCTTTAGTAGAGCATCTCAGGACATTTCTGTAACCAAGAAAATATCGATTTCCTTAACCATTTAATATGAGCCACTATCTTGTCATATAGCTCATATATCCCTGGAGAAACACGTGACTGTCTACCCCCGTGAAGAGTTATAGTCTCAGAAATCCACAGGGGCGGTTCCACCCTGACATACAGGGTCGCTATGAGTTGGCATCGACTCAACAGTAGTGAGTTTTTTTGTGAGCTCATATATCCATCCTTATTATTCATTAAAATGTCAGGGGGAAAATTGGGCTGAAATTAGAAAAATTAATAATTCCAGTCAATATTGAGCAATTCTGTTTTTCAGAACAGCGCTTAGTATTTCCTAAGTGTCCAATAAATGGGGGTTAACTTTGATAACAGTGGCCCCATACACTACTTGTCCTTTTGTCATCAACAAACTTTACTCAGCATAACATTCTCCAATTCTAGCCATATCATGAGGGGTTTCGCAGTTTGATGATTCTTTAGCCATGTTTAGAATGCTGTTGTGTGCGTACCAAAGTTTGCTTAACCATTCTTCCACCGATGGGCATGGAGGGTTATTATGAATCATGCTGGGATGAACATAAATCGGTTTGTGCCACAGCTATCACTAGGGCATATGCCAAGCACAGGATTGCTGGGTCATAGGGTAGTTGCATTTCCAGTGGTCTGAGGAAGGGCCATACTGCTGTCCACAGTGGCTGTGCAGTTTCACGGTGCTATGAGCGGTGTATGACAGTTCTGATCTCTCCCTACCCTTTCTAGTATTTTTTTTCAGGGGGGAGGGGGTGTTTTGTTATTTGTTTTTTTCACTTTGCTGTCAATGCTGGCATGAGGTGGATCTCATCTTTGTTTTTATTTGTTTCTCTCGAATGCCTAGTAAAGGTGAGCATTTCTTCATAAGCGTGTTGGCTGTCATTGGTCTTACAAAATTCTATCATGTGGTTTCCAGCTTCATTTCTATCATCCAGACCCAGGTTATCCAACTTCTGTTCCTTCCTCTTTGTTTCTAACTTTTGCGTTCCAGTTGCCAATAATCATCAATGCATCTTGATTGATGTTACCAATTTCAGACTGAAGACCTTTGTAGAATTCTTCAATTTCTTTATGGTGGTGCATACCTTTGAACAATAGTTGTATTGATTGGATTTCCTGAATGCAGATAGATATAATCCTATCCCAGACAACATTGCACTTCAAGACAGATCTTGAAATGCACATTTTGATGATTAATGTAACACCATTCCTCTAGATTGCATCTATCCCAGAGTATTAAACCATTTGACTTCCTAATTCAGAATGGCCAATTTTGCTAGATTCATATTTCATGCATTTAAATTTATGATTATTAATTGATGCTTGCAGCTAATTCTTCTCATTTTGAATTGTACACTATCAGCAAATGTAGACACTGGAGGCCTTACTCCCACAGGTTTCAGTCCACTCACGTCGTCACCATGGTCGAATCTACTTTAAGAAGACAGCTCCTGTTCAATCACATGTTGAATGGCCTTCTCACCCATCTTCTGGCACTCTCTCTCACCATGTTCTGCTGCCAGTCATTCGACCTTTAATCACTGACCAGGTTTCCATACTCTGCATAAAGCTTTCAGCAGCTCTTTCCTCCAAAATGGACAACCAAGTCCCTCTGCATAGTCTGCTCTTTGTCTGGAAGCTCCGCTGAAATCTAGCCCCTTTAGTGACCCTGCCAGCATGTGAAACACCAGTGACATAGCTTCCAGCATCACAGCAACACACAAGCCACCACGGTACAACAAACCGACAGACGAGTGGTCGAGAAGACATATGAACACTGGGCAAACCAGCCGCACAAGACCTCTTTAAAGTATTCACAAGCAAAGATGTAACCTTGAGGAAGAAGGTACACTGGACACAAATCATAGTATCTTCAGTCACGTCACTTGAGTGGGAAATTTAGATAATGGTGAAGGAAGGTCACTGAAGAGTGATGCGTTTATACCATGGTGTTTCTAAAGAATATTGAAGTTACAACGGACTACCAGAAGAAAGAGCAAATGGGAAGGACAGCCAGAATATTCCTTAGAAGAGAGGGTGCGGAGGGTTCATCTCACAGCATCTGGACGTGTCACCACGAAGGACCGGTCTCTGGAAAAGGACACTGTAGGAGGGCCCTGTACTAGAATGACTGACACAGTGTGTTGGTGGCAACAAAGAGCTAAAACATGGTCATGATGGTGAGAATGGCCTAGGATGAAGCAGCGTCTTGTTCCTTTGTCCATGGTGCGGCTGGATGTGAACCAACTGTACGACCTCTAACAACAACCCCTCCCTTAAGAACTACGTGCTCTCAAGTTGCCATTGCCCAATGTTGGTTTTTGCATCGTTGAAGAAGTTCAATTGTGCTCCTATTGAATGGTCTTTGAATTGGGGAAACAGAAAATAAGTCTGGAAGGACAGTATCCAGCTGTAGAGTGGATGGGGTGACGTCTCCCAAGGAAAGTTTCCTAGGGCAGCCCTTGGTAACTTCAAAGTATGAGCAGGTGCATTGTCATGACAGAAAAAATAAATCCTAGACACGGCTTTCCTAACCTTTTTCTCACCAAGGCAGTTGTCACTTTTCTTAACACGTCTTCATAATACACCTCTGTGACTGCCCTTTCTAGAAAATGTATCAAGATCATGCCTTTGCAATCCCCCGAAACAGTCATCATAACCTTCTGCGCTGATTGCTCAGCCTTGAACTTGGCTGCCCTGCAGATTCCTTTGGAAGTCCCTGTTTGGATAGGACTTTTTTTTTTTTTTGAAGGTAGCTTCATGAGACTCAGATAAGTGTGTTACTGAAAGAGCTTGCTTCCATTCATGTTTAACCATGTTTTGTGCGGTCTAAGCCTGTGCATGCATGCACTGGAACCCCAGTGACAACACTCCCTTACTTACCCTTGTATGTATTTCCCAACCGTTTCCTCCTAGCTCTTTGTAATACTTCACTTACTATCTGAGCACTTTAACCACACAGTGAATTATCCCAGATCCCAAGAAAACAATTCACCAACCATCTCTCAAGAACATCTTCAAGTCATGTAAGATTTGTTCATATGTTTACCAAGAATAAATCATCTATACATTACTAGGCTAAACAACTTAATTGTGCTGCATTTCATCCTTTGTGTGTATTTGGCTCTTTCTTGTTTTTGTTTTGAGTGTGTTAATATTGTAGCTGCTTTCAAAAGAGATAATTTATTTTGTCACTTTTTCCTGTGTCCATCAATTTTGACTTTCATATATTTTTTCCATCAGTTCCTGTTCATTTTCTCTTTGTTCATTTCCTAAATTTCTGAGTTGTGCACCTAGCTCATTTATTTATATTCTCTACTGTCTAGGGGAAAGAACACATCAGTTATAGTCAAATTACCTGAATATAATACATCAACTCTCTTCAAAATTCTGCATACTGATTTCTGAAGCAATGTTTATCTCCCCTTATCTCAGACTAAGAATTTAGTAAGTAAAATAGTTAGGAATGAAGATAAAACTTAATGTTGCTGTGCTTATTTAGTATGGAAAATAAAGGGGACTTCATTTTCAGTTCCTAGCTAAACAATGTTTCACAAAGCAATATTCTAACACAAGTTAAGCACATCATCATCCATTAAAATATTTATTCTTGGAAGGAAATTGTCTTTTGAATTCATGAAGTGCCAACAAAACTGTAAAGTTAATTGATGTATGAAATATAAGAGATTGACATCATGGAGTTCATTCTCCCAGGTACTCTTAAAGTTCTAGGAGCTTACATTCAAAACTTGAAGGAGATGTGACAAATATTCAAATACAAGGAAACTCAATCAATACAACTATTACTCAAATGTATGTCCCAACCTCTAAAACGAGTGTTGCAGAAATTGGAGATTTCTACCAACCTCTTCAGCCTAAAACTGATGACACGTCCAGTCCAGATGCACTAATAACTACTGGTGATTGGGATGGACAAGTTGGAAACAAAGAGCATGGAATAGTAGTTGCAAAATACGGTCTGGGTGGTAGAAAGGAAGCTGGGGGTTGCATGACAGAGTTTTCCTAGACCAAGGACTTACTTTTAGCAAATGCCTTTTTCAACAGCACAAAAGGTGACTATACACACGAGCTTCTTCAGATGGAATACACAGAAATCAAATTGACTACATCTGTGTGATGAAACCAGGGAGAAGCTCAAGATTAGCAACTAAAACCAGGCCTGAGGCTGATTGTGGAGACCATCAATTGTTCATCTGTAAGTTCAAGTTGAAGCTGAAGAACATTTTTAAAGTCCGTGAGGGCCAAAATCTCAAGAACAGATTTATTGTATTGAACATTAATGACAGAAGACTAGATGAGCTATGGGAGGACATAAAGAACGTCATTCATGAGAAAAGCAAACGGTCATTTAAAAGATAAGAAAGAAAGACCATTTCATGGTGAGTGTCAGAAGAGACTCTGAAAGTTGCTCTTAATCACAGAGTAGCTAAGGCAAAAAAGGTGAAGTCAAAGAGCTGAACAGAAAATTTCCAAAGGCAGCTTGAGAAGACAAAGTAAAACATTATAATGAAATGTGCAAAGACCTAGAGCTAGAAAACTAAAGGAAGAAGAAGAAGAAGAAGAAGAAGAAGAAGAAGAAGAAGAAGAAGAAGAAACTCAGCATATCTTAAACTAAGAACTCAAGAAAAAAAAATCAAGCCTCAAATTGAAAGATTGAAG